CAGCTCAAGGACTTTATCATCTGGGATTGAAGAGGGAAAAATGAGCCTTTGTATCTTTTTGGGAGGGAGTGACTTTATAGATAAGGACAGGTATCTGGTTAATCCCATGAGCACATGAATGACTCTGAACAAGGTAGCAGTATTTGGGAACTATCTCACCCTCTTCTGAGAGATTTCTCTATCTTCTGCTTGCAACACCTTTTTTTGTTTGGAGAGGCTCATGTAGCCACAGTTGGCCTTGGATTTGCTATGTAGCAGAGGAAGGCTTTGAACTCCTGATTCTCCAGCCTCTACCTCCCTACTGCTGGGAATGCAGGCATGCACCAGCATGGCCCATCTGATATGGTGCTGGGGACAAATTCAGGGCCTCACGCTCGGTAGTGGGTACTCCACCAACTAAGCCACAGCCCAGTCCACATTCAACACAAGGAATTTTTTTGTTTTTGTTTTTTTAGTTTTCTGAGACAGGGTTTCTCTGGGTAGCCTTGGCTGTCCTGAAACTCACTCTATAGTCCAGGCTGGCCTCGAACTCACAAAGATCTGCCTGCCTCTGCCTCCTGAGTGCTGGGATTAAAGGCGTGCACCACCACCGCCGCCCCGGCTTTAGGCACAAGTTTTCTAAAACTTAAAAAAAAAAAAATCGATTTCATTACTGCTTAAATGAATATCCTTCCCTTTCTCCCATTTCCCTCTCTCCAGTTGCAGAGGTAGGTTTCTTTCTTTTTTATAAAGATTTATTTTTATTTTACATGCATTGGTGTTTTGCCTGCATGTATGTCTGTGTCAGGGTGTCAGATTCCCTGGAACTGGGGTTACAGACAGTTGTAGGTGCTGGGACTTGAACCCAGGTCCTCTGGATGAGCAGCCAGTGCAGTGCACTTAACCTCTGAGCCACCTCTCCAGCCCTGTATATGTAGATTTCCGCTTTAGCCTTCTGACATATACTTCCCTGGCACACTGAGTCTATTGAGTATTATTCTCTGCAGCACTGGGTATTTAGTGCTAAGCAAATACTCTACCGCCTCAGCATTGCCATAAAAACGACATAGGGGCTGGGAGTGTAGCTCAGCTGGCAGAGTACTTGCCCAGCAGGCAGGAGGCTCTGGGTTGGATCCTGTGCATCCCATAAACTAAGTATGGTGGTGTACACCCGTAATGCTAGCCCTAAGAGGTGGAGGCAGGGGGTTCAAAAGTTCAAGGTCATTCTCAGTTACATCTCTTTCGTGGTCAGCCTAGGATATAGAAGATCTGCCTATGAATAAATTAAACACATTATTTAGAAGTCTTAAGATAGGAATGGAGCGGCTGGAGAGATAGCTCAGTGGCTAAGAGCACTGACTGCTCTTCCAGAGGTCCTGAGTTCAATTTCCAGTAACCACATGGTAGCTCACAACCATCTGTAACGAGATCTGGTGCCCTCTTCTGGCATGCAGGTATACATGTAGGCAGAACACTGCATACATAATAAATAAATATAAATCTTTTTTTTTAAAAAAAAGATAGGAATGGAGTTGTCCTGAGGCTCAACCATAAGAAACTCAACTCCCAACATTTCTGAAGCTGGGAGTGGTGGCACACCCCTGTAATCCCAGAACTCTGGAGATGGGAGTGGGAGAATCAGTTCAAGGTCCTTCTCAACTAACTACACAGCCACTTGAGGCCAGGCTGTGATTCATAAAACCCTATGTCAAAGAACAAAACACAGCATGTCTAAATTGTGAGTCTCAGTATTTTTTTTAATATTTATTTATTCATTGTATATACAGAAGAGGATGCCAGATCTCATTATAGTTTGTTGTGAACCACCATGTGGTTGCTGGGAATTGAACTCAGGACCTCTGGAAGAGCAGTCAGTGCTCTTAACCTCTGAGCCATCTCTCCAGCCTGAGTCTCAGTTTTTGAGCATAGAGTTGGGAGTCAAGTCTTCTAGTCCCTGATCAGATGCAACAGAGCTGATATTCTGCGACAGAAATGGTGTTAGCCAATTCCTCTCTCTCCTGGAGACTCTGACCTGGAGTTTAGTGCACTCATCCAGTCTTAACCCACGCTGGGATTACAGGCACAGAGAGCCCACAGCTATGAGACACTAGCTGAACTGTGTGTCCCTGCTTCACTTTCTGTTGGGTGTGGCCAGGTGACTGCTTCTGGTCCACCCCCCCCATGTCCCCACTTTCCCTCCCCAGCTTGCCTTACTTCTACTATCTCCAACAGAGCAAAGGACTGTGCCATTTACGAGCCTCGAGAAGAAGCTGGTGGTCGTGGTGGTTGTACACACCTTTAATCCCAGCACTCAGGAAGCAGAGGCAGGCAGACTTTTTTGAGTTCCAGAGAAACCCTGTCTAAGGGGGAAAAAAAAAGAAAGGAAAGGAAAAAAAATTCAATTTCCTAGCTAGTCATGCCGGCACATGCCTTTCAATCTCAGCACTGAAGGGGCTGAGGCAGGATCAGGTTTGAGGCCAGCTCGGGGTGTATACTGAGATCCACACAGAGTAAATGTAAGAACTAAACATCCCCCCTCACCCACACAAACACAAAGCAAACAAATAGATTGATACTTCACCGCCCCTCTTACAATGTGCTGACCTGACCAAGCAACACCACTGGCTTGACCTCACATCTAGTGTGTTCTTTGGCCAGCTTTTCATCTAAGCACCTGTTCAATCCTTACAATCATCCCCACTCGAGGCAGAGTAGGGATGGTTTCATGTATGGTTTGTGTGTATACGTGAGCGTGCATGTACAGGTCAGAGATCCATGCTTCCTTTATCATCCTTCACCTCATTTTTGGAGACAGATTCTCACGGAATACAGCACTCACTAACTGGTTATGCAGGTAAACCAGTGAGCCCTGGGACTGGCCTGACTGCTCTGCCGGCTATGGCACCTGGCTTTTTCTCATGTGGACCCTGGAATCTGAACTCAAATCTGCATGCTTGTGAAGCAGGCACTTGACTAATGGAGCCCCTCCCCAGCCCTTTAACAGTCCTCATTCTATCAGTGGGCGGTGGTGGCACATGCTTTTAATCCCAGCACTTGGGAGGCAGAGCCAGGCGGATCTCTGTGAGTTTGAGGACAGCCTACAGAGTGAGATCCAGGACAGGCACACAGAAAAACCTTGTTAAAAAAAAAAAAATCCTCATTTTACACAGGAATCTTTCATTCCATTGGGTATGATAAATTTAATTCAATAGTTATATACATTTCAATTGGCCTTGAAAGTTATAAATTTATAAACTCAAGTTCCATTTGCTTTTGGGATACCATCTTACAAGGACTCCAATTTGCAGCAAGGCTCGTTAAGGAAGGGAATGGCTCAGTTGCCTTTAGCCTACTTGCTCTGGGTGGGATTAGGACCTCTGTTGGTCTCTTCTGTGTCGAACACACAGATTGCAAGCCCAGTGCCACTTTGAGATCTTTGGCAGCAGTCAATTCTGCAGCTCACACAGGGTTGAGCCTCTATGATAATGAGTATTCAGAGACGGGTAATATCTGGAGGGTGCTCACCAACCTAAGACAGAGCGCCTGTGTGGCCTGGGCAAGTGTCCTGCTGATGTCCCATGCAACCTAAGTCAGAAGCTCATTTTTTAGTAAAAGGGGGACCTGTAGGGACCTGGCCCCCATTTTGGGTAGCTGTTGCCTTGCTTGCTGACCTTAATGTCCTTCCTAATCTAATTCCCTAGCGGGTTAAACCATCCTGAATGCTTAAGGGAAGTTCCTTGTCTGTGTATCCTGCATATTGGGCGTTAACAGCTTAGATGCAAGATTCTAAAACATTGGTAGCGAACTTCTGCCCTCTGGAGTTCTCCCATTGTGTTGTAAGCCTGTATTTAAGACCTCCTCCCTCCTTTAATAAACGGCATTTGGCATTCAAAAAACAAAAACCAAACCAAACCAAACCAAAATCCTCATTTTACACAGGAAGAAACCGAGTCTATTAAGTAGCAAAGCTATATCCAAGCAGCCTGGCTCCAGTTCTCAACCTCCTAATGCTACAACCCTTTAATACAGTTCAAGTCGTGGTGACCCCCAAACAAAAAATTACTTTCACTGACACTTCATAACTGTAGATTTTGTTATGAATCATAATGCAAATATGTTTTCTAATGGTTTTAGGCAACCCCTGTGAAAGGGTTGTTTGATCCCCAAAAGGGTTTGCAACCAGAGGTTGACAACCTCAGCTCTCTACGACCAGTGCTGGTTTGTTTGTTTTCTTGAGATAGGGTTTCTCTGTGTAGCTTTGGAGTCTGTCTTGGAACTTGCTTTGTAGCCCAGGCTGGCCTGGAACTCAGAGATCTGCCTGGCTCTGCTTCCCACGTGCTGGGATTAAGGGCGTGCACCACCATTGCCTGGCTCAAAATGCTCATCTAACATCTACAGGGGGACAGATCTCCAGCAACCTGGACAGTTTCATGGCTGCTCACTCTTTCCAGGTTTGGGTATACAGAGCACCGCTGCCCTAGTACATGGGCAGAAGTAATTTAAAAGGCTAGGGAGTAGGAAACAAGGACCACAGTGAAGTAACCATCTCAATTTAAAAGAAACAGATCAAACAAAATTCTTATGATAAAAACTTTATTATCTTAAATATCAAAGGTTTTACACATCACGTTTTCTTCAGAAAGTTCCTATTAAAGAAGAAAAATAAAATAAAGTGTTTGGATTATTCAGGGCTGACTTACATTTCAAAATGTGACCAAAAAAAGAAAAGAAAATCAAACTCAAAGGCATCTAGTGCGTTCAGCTGCAGACAGGTCCTAAATGGTGGCACAATGCAACCAACTCTGGGATTACTGAGTGCAGTTCCCAACTCTCGAAGCATGTGAGCGTGACTGGACCACTGGCAAGCAGACTATGCCAACCAGCCTCGCTTCAAGAAAAGCCAGGAAACCTTGTGACACACAGGCAAGAAGCAAAGCAGGCTTCCTAGTCATAGTCTGCCAGATGGGGCTAGGAAACCATTGAACAAGCCACCAGCCCAACTCACCATGAAGAGATCTGGACACAAATGCACAATTAGTCTCTCATGAAAGGTGAGTGATATAGGGCAGATTTGATCAACACAAAGGATCCCCCTGATGTCTCTCCAGAACTAAAGATGTCCAGGGCAGGGAAGAACCCAAGCCTAAGCACTGGGGTGGAATGGTGTGAGCCCACGTGTCTCCCAGGCTTTCCGGTTCTGTCAAGGAGCCTGTAAACACAGATCTGACTAGCTCATGTAGGAACACAGGTCTACTCTGCACGTCACTGGTACATTTGTTTAAGTTTGCAGGTTGCAGGCTACTAAACTGTTAGGTACGATCACTGCCCATCACCTGACCAGGCCCAGGGAAAAATGCCCCTCACCCACATTAGCTACTCCAAACCTTCTGAGATTGTTCACATAGACACGGCTCTGTAGGCAGCAGTCTGACCTTTTACTCTGTGCCATCTCCTGATCTGTGGTTCAAACTTCGCAGGTAGAGACCCCTACGTTCTTGAGCCATTTTCTTGGTAGATTTCCCTAGATAGTGTCCTAAAAATTTGCAGTCCCCCCCACACTTCACAAGCCCCTCCTCATCCCCCCAGTCTTAAGTACTGATTAATTTTTTAGCATATTTCCTAACTGTAAAGCTCAGAAATCACTAACCACCTCCTTTCTTTCTATGCTTCAGGATGCATACACTGGACTATTAAACAGAGGGTTGAAGAATGCCTTGCAGAGTATGTCAAGTTCTGCAAAGCAGCCCTGCTTGCCCACCCCACCCATCGTTCACTAATCTTGCTGCTCTGGATTTTCATTTCCACACACTGCACTCAGTTGCCTTAAAATAGCACATCCCGAGAGGCCTCTGCTGAGCTCTGCTCTCCCAGATGGTTGGCATCCCAGTGCAGCCTGGCTCACCAGAGGGTGGAGGATGCTGCACACCCACCCGTCAGTGTGGCATACAGCCTCCTAAGGGAAGGAAAGGTAACTCACTCCTCTCTTCCATTTACCCGACTTTTCCCTGCCTGCTCTTTTCGGTCAACAGCACTACACACTGATTCCTCAGCATCTTTTCAGTTATTTCTACTAAATTCTTATTTAAATTTATTTTTTCTTAGCCGTGCTGGGGGTCAAACCCAGAACCTTGTACATGCCAAGCAGGTGTTCAACCACTGGACTACACCCGTACTCTCCCTCACCTTTTTGGAGACAGGGTTTCATGTAACCAAAGCTGGCCTGAAACTCATTAGGTAGCCAAAAATGACCTTGAACTTTCTGATCCTCCTGTCTCTGCTTCTCCAGTGATGGGGTTACATTTATGCCACACCTGGATTATGCAGCTGGGAGCTGAACTAAGGGTTTCCTGCAGTTTTGCAAGCATGCTACTTATCAACGGGCTACACTTCCCAATTGTTTTTTTATTTTTACTTATTTTGAGACAGTTTCTCGCTGTAGCCCTGACTGGCCTTGCACTTACAGCTTAAAGGTGTAACATCCAGACCCTAATTGTTTAAACAAAACAAAACTAAACATTTAAAGTATAACTCTAGGCTTACGTCATCTGACTTACTGTGGGCTTGATTTTTTTCCCAGTCATTTCTAAACTGCAACCAAGTATGTTTTAAAAGAAAAGCATGCGACCAGATGTTACAGAATGTGTCTCTAACCTCACAGTCCCAGCTGTTTGAGGACTGCTAGTTCAAGGCCAGCCTGGGCTACACGAAATCTCTTCTCCAAAACAAAAGCATGCCAATAGGTACAAACAGATCTTAGTTAACACTTGTCTCATGTCTCTCCTAGACTGAAGGCTTCTAAGGCCAGGCTCCAGTCTCCTTCCGTTGCTGCTGAGCTCCCAGGCTCAGGGGTATTCAATGTTTGATGAACAAAAATAGGGGCTCTTAATCAGACTGCATAACTTGACAGGAGCTAACTTCCTATCTAGAATGTAAGATTTGATGTCTCCCTAACAGCACAAAATGCACAACAGAAAACCTAACAAACACCTAGAAACCATTTTTGGTATACAGGATGCAGAAACTCCTATCCGGGGAGACCTAAAGTTTGACTGACGCAGGGTAAGAGTGAGTCAAAGTAGCCACGAGCCAAGGACCTCATACTGTGGCCAGCCCTCTCCAGGAGAGCTGCCCCTCTGGCCTTTCCTGATACTCCCAAGATGTGATGCTTCTGCTATTCAAAAAAATTAAGGCACAAAAGAAAAGCAAGTACATCCAAGGCTCACCCTGAAGTCCTTCCTGTGGCTCTCTCTACCGACACTCAAGGGGTTGGGTAGCTCACAGGAGCTCGGGGCCAGCCCTCAGGGACCGCTGAGTTGACTTTCTGCTGTCAAGAGGAACTTATTCCCAGGAAACACAAAATGCTATCTAACGTAACTACTGAGACAAGTGGCCTTCCTTCTCCAGGAGGGGAATATATGGTAACCTTTGCTTTTTTAGTCAGCCACAGATTCCTACATCACCAAGACTGGCTTTTACTTTAAGGATCAGACCCTGGACCTCACATGCTATGCAGTAGCTCCACCACTCAGCCACGCCCCCAAGCCCCATGCCATTGCTAGGGGTACACCAGTCAGTTCAGCTACACTGTTCATGCTCGCCACAGGTAGCAACTGGAATGCACTGTGTGAACTGGGCATGGTGGTGTGAGCCTATAATCCCAGCGTTCTAGAGGCTGAGGCAGAACTGCCATGAGTTTGAGGCCAGCCCGGGCTATGGCGAGATCTTATCTCAAAAAACAAAAAACACACAACAGAAAAAGAAAATTTGCCTTGACTCTCCTGCAATTATTTGCAAGGCAGTTTATTATATACACGGTAGGAAGAAAAGCCACCAGATGTGCAGGCATCTGTAGACATAAAAGCTGCTTTTCAAACTATGCAAGATATTTGTCAATCACCTTATCTATGATAGCGTACATATTTATTTATAGACATGAGCTGAAGAGTTGAAACAAATTCTTATGGCTTTCGCTAGAGATAGAAAGCTGTAGAGAGGGACGAACAGGCAGAAGCTACAGAAGCTGGTTATAAAATCAGTGACACCAGGTCCCTGTCCCGTTCCTATGCACCCTCTTGCCAGAGAAATGCACTGGGTGGACACTCGATCAGAGGGGCTAGGATTTGAGGAAGAGGTTGTCGCACACCATTCACCGTTTACTCAAGCTTCCTTTGCCAAGCAACGGGTCTTCACCTATCAACACCCACAGCCCATACTGTGGGGCGAAGGCTTCTGGCTGTCTCGAGTCCTGAACTACCCCCCCTGGAAACAGCCCTTCACAGAAGCAAAGGGCCAACCCCCAGCTGCAGTTATACTGTCTGGCTACAAGCCCCTTCCACACACCAGCTTCAGCACAGGTTTTACAGGTAAATCCTCTTTGGTGCACACATGGAAACCACCACTGGAGGTAAGTGCCTCCCGGCACGGTTTGGTAAAGGAGTTGCCCTTGTGGTTATGGCTGTAATCTGACACCTGAACACTAGGATTCACGATGATTTGATCTTGGTAGTTAGCTACTAAATGAAAACTGACAATGAAGTCCACTAGTGCCATGTTCCTTAATGTCCCTGTTTCTAGGACTGCTCCATTTAAGCCAACCAATTCCTAATTTTAAAAAGATTTTCTGTTTTTAGACAGGGTCTCACTAATGTAGCTCTGGCTGGCCTTGAACTCAGAGATCTGCCTACCACCTGGTATATGCCAGCATGCCTGGCCTTTAATTTATTTTTGACAGTTTAAAAATCAAAAGTAAGTATATGTTGAAAAGAAAGTAATGACCCAAAGGAACAAAGTATTTGGCAAATGAGTTAAGTTCAAAGGATTCCTAAAAAGAGTATCTGTGTAAACTACTGGCCTATCATTTTGCTTCTAAAAAGAAACACACCTGTAGGTACATTAAAAGCTCTTGTAATGAAATCTTTTCCAGACTGGTATTCGACATTCTGCCTAGGGCTGTCTCCCAAACTTCAACATTGTAAAAAGTCAGCAGTCAAACCACTGGGCTTTCATGTCAGTTTCTTCTGAAGGCCTTGGGGTGGGTGGGTGGGTCTGTCATCAGTACCTTCTCTACCCATCCCATCCTGTGGCCTCAAAGATTTGTAACCCTAAAATATACCCCAACCCACCCCCTAAGCAAATACCAGGCCTCACTGCGCTGCTTCTTGATCTGGCTCTAACCACAGCTGAGTCGGGGACAGAAGCCCGGGAGCAGTTTCCCAGTGTCACCAGCATACATCTTTGGTGCAGAACATGCAAAGAGTGGATGAGCTGTGCTCATCTGAAACAAAGAACTTCTTGGCTAGCCTGATGTTCTGAGTGCCATTTAATGGAGAGTAGGAAACCGCAAGGCCATCCAGAAACCATCTCCTAATTCCAGAAAGGATCATGATACTCTGTGTGACTTGCCATCATGTCCTGAAGTGAGTCTCGGCACACAAATAGTATGGCAGAAACAAGGATGGATCAGAGAACAAATCCCTGTAAGTGCCCTTAAGGTTTCAAAAACCCCTGAGATATGAACCTCTCTGTGCTCGATGACTTTAATTTTGATGGTAAGAACAAACTTTCAGAGCGGAGGAAGGGAGAGATTGACTTTAGACAAAAATCAGTTAATGCTTAGTTCAGAAATCGATTTCGACACTTCCATTTCAACAAACTGCAAACTCTCACCGGGAACCAGGAATTACCCTCAAGATCCTTTTCAAGAAAAGCAAGATTCCAGATTCCTGCCAGACATCTAAGACAACAGTTTATGTTCTAGGAAAGGATGCTTTCAACCCTATCCAGAGGGATCACTACACAGTGGGGCCCACAGGACAACTTGCAAGGCGAGAACTTACATTAAAAAGGCCACGATAAACACATCTACACATTCCACCCCAACTCTACCTCAACGTGGTGAACACAAACATGGATCCTGCTTAGAAAAAGAAACTCCTGAGGAAAGAAAGGGATGAACACTGTACCAAGGCCACTGTAGTCAGAACTTCAGCTGTATTCACTGCCATGAAGGACACTCACAGACGGACCCAGTCTAAGCACCAAGAGGACCAGGGACAAAGGTTCTCCTAGTTCAGTCTTGCTCAGCTCTGAGCTTAGACTGAACGTGGGAAGAAGCTCCCAGCAGACATGTTTCAGAAGCCAGGCTCCAGGTGGCCAACCCGTGAGCTGAAGCTGGACTCACCATTGGCCACTGAGGGCTGGGGTGTCAGGGAGATGCCCCAAGCCCTATCTCTAGTACATTCCAGTGTTTCGTCTAAGCCATTATCTTTTACTCACAGTCCTTGACATTTGCAAATGGAATTATGATCAGGTTTTTTTTCCCTTCCCTTTTTAAATACAAGTAGCACCATGTTTCACTCTAATGTGAATTCCCCCATACCCCACCCTCTGTCATAAAGGTATTTGGCAATCAATCCATGCAGCAGCCTATTATGCACAAGACGACAGCTCAGGTGTTAAGCCCTCCCGCTCATCCTACTTAAATGTCACCCCTGAGCACACAAATCAAACATACAACTCCAGAAGTTATTGAACTCGTCTCCAGCGTCCTGTTCTCAGCCACATCCTGCACACAGCACAGCCAGAGTCACAGCAAGCGGCTGCACAGGTGGCAGGTTCCTCATGGCTCCTCTTTCAAAGCACTCACTCATCTAAAATGGTATGCTATACAGAAAACCATCCATTTTATTCCAGAATACATCATCTTAATGAGAATAAAAAGCTTTTGTATGCACATACTGCTAATACATTTTAAAAGGCCCAAATTTTAACAAGTAAAATAGACAAATTCATCAGACAAAAGATCATAAATTACTTTGGCCGGAAAAAAAAAATCTGGCTCAACATTTTGCTTGCAGGTTTCTACGTATGCTGTGTGTGTGTGGTGAGTGTGCATCTGTGTGGGGAGGGCTTTCACAAACGGAATGGAGTACGGGCTAAGCCCACTGTCCCACAATTACGTAGGGACCACAATGTTCTTTGCGAGCAAAACAAGAAGTGCAAGGTCTGCATTCCCACCAACTCGATGCAAAGCCCCGAGGGCTTCTTGCAGAGTGAAGCCGGCACCAAGAATCCGGTTAACATCTGCGGCGGGAAAGATGAACGGCGGAAGAGCGGAGGGAGAAGACAAGGGCTGTGTAGCAGGTGGGTCCAATCCACGAAAGGGCGGCGCAGCTCCAGGGCAGACATCGCTGGTCTCCGGCCCGTCTGTGCCTGGATTCTCCATGTGCTCAGAAGGCTGACTGTGGGCACCTTCCTCACCTACTGCAAATGTGGGTGACATTTCTACACCTGAGGTGCAGAGTGACTCATCAGATGGTTTGGCTGAGGTTATGACGACAGAACAGTTCTTCCTGACTGACTCCCTTGGTCTGGGGGCAACTTCTCGGCCATTTGACAAACTATCGCCCAGACCCCTGAAGCTAGTATATGCTGTATCTTCTATCCCAGCACAAGGTGTAGTGCCTACAATGTCTGTCTTTTCTGATTCAGAGGTGGCCTGGTGACAGGAAACTTGTGGGTACTGGTCACTAGGGATCAGATGCTCATTTTGGGCCCTCTTTCCTGAAACGTCAAAAATACCTGCTTGGCTCTCAGCTTCCATCTCTGACTGACAGGCAACATCTTCAGGTGCTTTTTCCAAAGCTGGCTTACAGCTAATGACCAAAAGTTCATGCAGTTCTTTCAAGGCCACTGTGACAGATGAACAAAATTCTTCAGCTGCCTCCACAGAGGGGTGACCATGATCACTTAAAGGGGAAGGGGAGCTGCGGCTATCTCTGCTATCCATCACAGACACTTCAACAGTATCTTCTGGGAGCTGCAAACCCCGGGCTGAAATGGAATGTTCCATGCTTTCACAGGAGGGGTTCCACTGTCCTGTTTCCACTTCCATTGAGGGGTTATCTGAAGTGAGGTGCGATGCACCAGGGCTCTCGACACTGGCGTTCTGCCTGCCTGTTGAGCTTCGCACAGCAACCAGAGGCTGCTCAACTGCATCCACGTCCATCAGGGTTTCTGAGCACGAACAGCTGCAGCACCCTGAAGCTAGAAGACTTTTCTCTGTACTTAGAAGATGAGCATTTGTCTGAAGTTCATCTCCTTTCATCACAGCTTTCAAACTGACAATTTTTTCTTGGTCCTGTTGATTTTCTTCATGAAGTTCAAGGTCTTCTGTGTCACAAGGACATTCTTGGTCATGTGGAACGTTCTGCTGTCCACTCCCATTGTGTGGTTCTCTGTGTTGCTGAAGGCCATTCACTTGACTTGGGTTCTGATATTCTGGATGCCAATTCTTTTCTTCCACAAATACCTGGGGCTCATGCATCCCAGTAGTTGTGAGAGAGAAACTAGTGTCCTGTCTTGTACGGAGATAAACTCGGAGGCCCTGGGTTCTTCCTTCAGCAGATTTCTCTGGATTATCTGCAACAAATGCTTCTTCAGATGAATTATGAAAAGGCATAGCTGGATTCTGGTCTGCTGGGGAAGCGAGATCAGGAGGACCCTGCAGAGGAGGAGGGTCTGTTTTCTTAGAGCTTGTCTGAAAGTCAGCTGAAGTCTTCATGGCCTCCACAGCTGTAGGTTCAATGCTACTGGGGTCACTGGGCTTGATGGCGCAGACGGAAGCCGAGACAGAGCGAGCGAGACTCGTAGGGCTGCCAACCTCAGGACTCGGCCCGGAAGAAGGGGCTGGAGAGCTGAATCCATCTGAAGTCAGCAACGATGACATTCCCTGTGAGGTAGATTCTTTACTGCTTTTCTCTGTAAAAAGGAAAAAAAAAAAAAAAAAGGAAAGGAAAGAAAAAAGATTAGTTAGCAGATCACTGTATTATCAGAGAATGAAATCTCAACAGAATAAAAGCAGGTCTTTTAATTTAGGTCTCTCTTGGAAACATGAGGGTAAAAAAAAAAATACAAGAATCTTTCTGTAGTAAATGAGATAGCATACTGGACCTGAATAGAGTGTGTCTTTAATAAACGTTATTAAAATTCCATATGTAAAGAACTGTAACATGCACTTGACAATGGCTCAAAGACAGTTGTGTGTGTATTTATTTCAGACACAGTCTCACTACATAGCCTGAGCGGGCCTTACACTTGAGATCTGCCCCAGCTTCTGGAGTGCGGGCTGTTGGCATCCCATCATGCCAAGCAAGCAAGCAAGCAGCTATGCTTCTTTATTTCTGGTGAAGCTTTGGATCTTTACTGGATGATTCTCACAAACTTTTTCTTTTTATTTAAAAAAAAAAAAAGCGCCCAGTTGTTCAGTCCTGAACCATCAGCAGTTCTCACATGTCAGCCTCCTGATGCTGGAATTACAGCACAGGCCACCACAGCCGGCTCCAGTGAACTTTCCCACGTTTCAAGTGTGAGCCTAAGTTACACAGAAGAAATCCAAAAGCAAGTACGCTGGGGACAGAGTGGGGCACCCGAGATGGGGTTTACATGCCTACAGATCCCTAGAAAACAGAAGTCAACAATGGATTTCATTTCTAGGCAAGCTTCTAAAAAAATCATGGTACAATCGCGCACCAACTCAAAGAACAAAACAAACCTAGAGATGAAGCAGACAAGAGTTTTCTTTGTCTCATCAAGCACTGTATCTATTTATTTAACCATTTCCTGGCCCCCACGCTGGCCTCTAACCTGATGCACAAGGATGATCCCTCCAGTGCCGGAACCATGGGTGCGCACCACTACTCCCAGGTTATATGGTACTGGGGACCAAACCTAGCTTCCACGCCAGGAAAGCACTCTACTAATCCAACTACATCTCCAGCCCTGTAATGTAGTTCTGTCTGGTCTGGAACTTGGGGCACTGCTCCTGCTTCAGTCTGAGTGCTGGGATTACAACACGCACTAGCATGCCTAGCTTCCAAACATTGCAACTCTAACACAGCACAATAAAACTGACAAGGTTTAAGATCTTTGCTGAGTACAGGGGAGGGAGGGTAGAGGAATAGTGTACCAGCTTTTCATTTTTTTTAGTATATGTGCTGCCGAAGCGAGCACAGTGCACTAGCTTTTCAATAGGCAACAGTAACTTAAGAGTTGCTCTAATTTACCAACCCTTCAAACATGATGGCAGGCTCAAACACTAGTTCAGTGCAGATACCACAATGATACTACTCAATAGGTCCGACTCCTGGTACCATTAAAAACTGGCCTCTAAACACCCAAAATGCCTTTAATTAAAAGACACAGGCTGTTATCAAGGCTGGAAACAATCAGCTCCTGGGTTCAATTCAATTCAGATGCTTTGTGCTAAAGAGCAGCAACATCAGCGCTCCTGCTGGGTCTCCACTCCTCAATTCCTGCAGAGAGCAGCTGGGATTCCAGCGGCCCGACACTGTGAGCAGCACTGAAGGATGGGCTTTGCTGGGAAGCTGCTGGCTTTCCCTCTTCTGGGTTGAAACAGGATTTCTTTTTTCTTTCTTTCTTTTTTAAAAAACGATTTATTGTTCTATCTTCATGTACACCTTTATGCCAGAGGAGGGCATCAGAGCCCACCAGAGATGGCTGTGAGCCACCTGGTGGTTGCTTGGGTATTGAACTCAGGACCTCTCAGAGAGCAGCCAGTGCTCTTAACCTCTGAGCCATCTCTCCAGCCCGAGACAGGATTTCTTAATGTAGTCAGTAGTTTGTCCAGAAGCTTACTATGTACACCAGGCTGGCCTTGAACTCAGAGATGCTCTAGCCTCTGCCTCCTAAATGCTGGGATTAAAGGTGCACCCTAGCACACCAGGGTCTAGGCTGCTCTTGAACTAGGGATTCTGTCACCACCATTTTTCAAGGGCTGGGATCCTAAGGAGGTGTCACCACACTTGGCTCAATTACTGACTTCCTTTTTTTTCCCCTCTGATAAAGGATCTCACTATGTAGACCAGGCTCATGGATTCCACCTGCCTCTGTCTCCCCAGTGGTGGAATTAAAAGTGTGCGCCACCATATCCTATAGTTATTGACTTCTCTACCCCCCCCCCCATTTTTTCTGTATAGTCCTGGCTACCCTGGAACTAGCTCTATAGATCAGGCTAGCCTCAAACTCAGAGATCTGCCTGCTTCTGTTCCCCAAGTGCGGGGACTAAAGGCGTGCACTACCACTGCCTGGCTCAATTATTGACCTAAGGAATTTTTCTTAAAGTTTAGTGAAAAACAGGATAATGATTTTGTCTGTTTAAACTACATTCACTAAGTCTAAAAAGTTCCTAGTTTTATCAATCTAATCAATGAAGCTGACTCTGAAAGAAGTTCAGTTTGGAACTAATGCTAACATAAAAAGCACACTGTAATAGAATATCCATGTCAGCACCATCGGGGAGCATGGACCACTCCTGGGTTCAGTGTTAAGCACCTATACAACCCAAAAAGCAGGTGAGGTGAGGTAAGCCTTAGCAGACCTTGTACTTACTATGAGAGCAGCATATCTGTCGTCCTTCTGAAACTGAAACAGCCAGTACCACCGGGGATTAGAAAGAGAGCCCAATGGACATTAACTGTGCCTAATGTCCTTAAAATGAAAGTGCAAGAGCGAGCGAGCAAGACAGAGCGAGAATATGAAATGTTGTGAGTCTAATTACAACCAGCCTCCAAACCCTTACTAAAGCTGGGCTTCAGATAGAATTAACAAATGTGCACAGACCGACACAGTCCTGTTGACGACAACACCGAGGTGACAGCAGATGCTCCCACAGGGTTGTCAGGCCAAGGACAGAAGGAAAGGTCAAGTCTCGGCTCTTACTGTTTGGAAAAAGATGTAGGTTCTGTCAACACTTTCCCCTAAGACAGTTTCACTAAACAGTCCAGGCTGGTCTCAAACTTTGCATCCTTCTGCCTCAACTTTCCAAGAAGGGGATGGCAGGAATGCATTACCACATCCAGCCCACCTATTACTATGATTCTGGACAAGTCAATTGGCTCAAGTTTCCATTTATGCTCAATAAGATGAAAATTTTGCCCTTCTATAAACCTCAAACATCCGAGGACTTCCAGCTTTTCAAAGGAAAATGGCTTAAGAAATTCAGTTACCTGCAACCAACTGCTGTCATGCCAATAGTCTTGACGCAGTGTTTTCAACTGTCAGATGGTAGGTACTTTTTACTAAGACTCTCCCCCTGGACTGTTCCCATAAGCAATAAGAATTTCTGCCTACATACATATAAATGTATATACAGGCTAGTTGTAACCAGAGTGAATAGGGAGAAACAGGGATGACAAGTCTTGAATTTCCAAAATGGTTCCAGACAGAGAGATTTTTCAAAGCACAGGCGATAAGTGGACGGAAGGTTAATGTGGTGTCTATAAATACCTGGTCTGGGGCCCACTCCAGCTGCAGCACACACACACTACATGCATCATGGCTTCTGACGCTCTGTTTGGATTAGGAAACAGACAAGCAAATGTGGGTTAACAATGCAGAACCACACAGCATGCAGGGCTGCAGTCCTCAATCCTTTCCATCCTTCCAATCAGGAGCGAGGAGTCCAGGTTGAGGGTGTTTCCACAGCGTGGGCATCTCTTCAAAGACAACCAGCAAGGTTTCTACATTAACAGGTTTTTGTTTTTTTCGAGACAGGGTTTCTTTGTGTAGCTTTGCACCTTTCCTGAAACTCACTCTGTAGCCCAGGCTGGCCTCAAACTCACAGAGATCCGCCTGGCTCTGCCTCCTGAGTGCTGGGATTAAAGGTGTGCGCCACCACCGCCTGGCTCAGATTTTTAACTGTACTTGGAAAGAAATTATTCCATAGCTCTGCACAGATGTTGGAGGCAAACGGGCCACAGGCAGTGAATCCATCAAAAGAGCTGCTTGAAGACCACTCTACAATGGTTAGTGAACAAGTATAGGAGCTTTCCAAATTTCTCAAAAGTCCTATTTTTTTTTGGGGGGGGGGAGCAAGAGGTTTGAGACAAGGTCTTGCTATGCATATAGCCCAGACTGGCAGAACTTGACATCCCAATTGCAGGGTTTATAGGCAGATGCCAGTACCACTGGTTCATGTTCATGTTCAAATCAAGTCTGATTAAGTCCCAGCTACTGCCTTCTTCAGTTAACCAGTATATAGACATGTTAAGACAGCTCCTACTGACTGTAGACAGACACAGAGGGTAAAGATACCCTGATAACTAGCCAAGTAACTTTCCGAAAATACTTTCACAAATTATGTCCATAAAATTGTGATTTTAGTGATCTTAGGCAGTTGGTTCTCCAAATAAATCAAGTCTAACCTTGCAGAATGACACCATTAGAACACTACTACAAAAATCAGCAGTTTACCCGGGTCAGTAGCAAAGGCTCCATGGATTCAGTGGTTTCTGAAACTGGCCAGGCCTTCCTTTGCTGATCCTGAGAACGTCTCGCCTACTTTAGCCAGCTGAACTGTAGGAGGAGCTCTTCAGGAGGCTGAGGGTTACCGGGTTAGGAACACTGCTGCCATCAGCGAGTGCTTCTCTAATCAGAGCACGTGGCTGTGCAGGGAAAGGATCTCAAAACGTCAGCATCCCGTCTAAGTTGCCAAGTTACCGTCTATAGGCTAAGGAGGTAGATGAGCTCACTCAGGCTGACCTTCCGGGAAAATTAAATGATTGCGGGTAACTCCACTTTACATACAGTGAAGCTGGACCACAAGGTAACCAAGGCCAACCTGGAAGTTCCATCAGCTACACAATCCCATTCCAGAGGCTCAAGGCTACACACACCTGCAGGTTCTCCAGGAAAACATAACAAAACTTTACAAACGTATTATCTTTGTCTTGAGCAGAAAATCTATTCCATGAACTTGTAATTCTAACACATTCTCTACCAGGAAAAGCAAAGTGTGAGATGAATAATCCTGACCCAAGACTTCAAGGCAACTCACTTAAAAGGTAATTCTTTTCAGTTTTTAGAAAATGCACCCAGAGTCACTGTTCTGTTAACAAATGGGGAATTTCAGCAAAGTTGTCTTGATCCATTTTCCTCAGAAGATTCTGCTTTCTCTTCAGATTTAGAAGGCATTAGCTTGGTTTCAAAGCAGTGCTGTGTAGCCTTAGTCTGAAACCTCAGTGAACATGAATACTACAGCTGATTAACGTTAAGATTACACTGGTCACTGGTCCTTCTCGTTGGTGGCAGCACTTTCAGTAAACTTTCCCTGCTTAGTCACAGTGATAATGCCTTCCTTCAAATCAAACAGGCTGAGAAAATGAAACATTTCTATGGAAATATTGCTGATCTTGAAAGTGTGTGCTTACTGCAGAAGTTTCTTTATGGACAAAACAGAATGTTTCAGAAGCATCCGAGCAAATAATGACCTAACCTTGAACAGAGCACTGGATCCTTGTTCCTCTTTTCTTTTCTGAGATAGGGTCACACTATGCCGAACAACTTAGCTGAACCCACAGAGGTGGAGATCAGCTTTGCCTCCGGAGAGCTGGGATTAAGGTGTGTGCCACCACTCCAGGTTCCTCTGGTTGTTTTGTTTTGTTTTGTTTTGTCACAGGGTATGTCTACACAGCCCAAACCAGCCTGGAACAATACTCAGCCAAAGCTGGGCCTGAATTTGTGATTCTTCAGCCCTGGTCTCGGACTGTTGCTTTTTTTTTTTTTGAGACAGGGTTCTCTGTGTAACAGCAGGGTTGTCCTGGAACTCACTCTGTTTGACCAGGTTGGCCTCCACTCACAGAGATTCCCCCTGCCTCTGCCTCCAGAGTGCTGAGATTAAAGGCATGTGCCACCACACCCAGCTACCCAGGTTCTTTTTTCTTGAGCTGTTGACATAGGAGTCCTTTCAAGTTCTGTATTACGATGGTGTGTATCTTGGGCATGCCTAGGTCAGAGCATAGCTGTGCAGTCGGCACTCTCCTTCCACATGTGGGCTCTGGTTTCTAGGCTTCTGTGGCAAGGGCCTTTACCTGCTGATCCATGGCAATGCAAACCCCTGCCTGCCTCTCTCCTTTTTGAGACAGGGTCTCAGATACTCCAAGCTAGCCTTGCATTCTGACTATGCCATCTTTACCTCCTGAGTGCTGGAATTCTAGGTGTGTACCACTTCACCCACTTTATGTGGTACTGGGGACTGAGCCTCCTCACCATGGTATTAAGAGTAAGAAGACAGTGAGCACACCTCTGCTGAAAAATGAAGTTAATTCCTAGAAAGGCCTTACCCCACTAATGACACAGCACTATTCAAATGGTCAGTCCCAATACCTGCATCCTCTGCTGATTTTTGAATGGCTTCTGCTAATTCTTGGTCTGCAATCTCCTCTGGCCGTATGTCCTCTCGCCCAGTTCCATACGCCAAGCGGGCACACTCCGGGAGCTCCCCCTCAGGAAGGAAGGTGGTCTGTGAGCCTGTGGTGCCAATCACCAGTACATTTTTCTTCAAGTCAATCGAACACTGGAGGAAGAAAGCAAAGAAGAGCAGCAAATGAAGCTCCCTACAGAAGAATCAAGTCTTAGTGCCACAGTCAACCACTAAAGACCATTACCAGGAAAAGACAGTTTAAGAACAAAACAAACTTAACCTTACCATCTACCCGAAAGCATCCATTTTTTATAGCTGGCTTTGGAGACAAAGTCTTGCTATGTAATCCAGGATGATCTTGAACTCACTTTGTAGCCTAAGACAGCCTCCAACACACCCTCCTCCTGCCTGTGTGCTACTCCATCTTCCTAGACCTTTTCTGATTTCAGAGATAGGCCCTTGAACTCAGCGAGTATGTATATAGTGGAGGCTGGCCTTCAACTCCTGAGGCTTGTCTCTGTTTGTCTCGTTTCTGCTGCTGTGTCGCATACTTCAGGCACTTGTGTCTCCATGTCCTATCTTGGGCACAGATGCCACCGCATCCATCAAGGGCTCTGGGGATCAGTGGGGGTCTTCAGGCTTGCACAGCCACTGCAGCTAGTGCTATACCCATCCATCCCATCCTTGACCTCTTGATCCATCTGCCTGAGGCCAAGTGGTGGGACCACAGGTGTGGTGGCCCACCACAGCCACTTCACTCCTTATTTACATTATCCTTCCCTGTGTGTTTTCATCTCTGCTTAAAAGTCTGACATTGCCATGTATGATTTATATCTGTAAAGTTAGAAAATACCGGTGTATGCTAAACGATAGCAAGACAGTGACAAATAAATAACCTAGTTTTCATTTACATATTTATACATTTGGCATTTAAAATGCTAAATCATATATTTTTCAGGGCTTTTTAATTTTAGGAGCCTGAAACTAGAGAGCCTTTCATATACTAGTGAAGTGCCACCTGATTTACATCATCGTGTGGAATATTTAAAATATAGTGGCATAAAGGTATTGACTTTATTTAAAAACCCACAGTGGGATTCAGGTATATTCAGTGGTACAGCACTTCCTTAGCAAAACAAACAAATATAAACTACTGTGGCATTTTATTATGCAGCAGACACTAACCAATGGTCTGCAATAAGCATGGTAGATCTTAGGCTTTAGATGAGGAATAAAGTATCATGACAAATTAATGTATTGTCAGATAATCCTCGCTGTATGAACAAAGCATTTTCATTCTCTAGCCTTTTAATCTCAAGGTTCTAACTATTGTTTAATCAACAGCTAAGAAAAGCATGTATTAAACACCTGCAGGAAATCAGTAAAAAAAAAAAAAAACTTCTGACATCTGGTTTTTTTTTTTTTTTTGGTTTTTCGAGACAGGGTTTCTCGATGTAGCTTTGCGCCTTTCCTGGAACTCACT